CTCTCTCTCTCTCTCACACACACACACACACTCTTATTCTGTCTCTTTCTCTGTCTTCACCACAAAATGACCATGTATGGATTTTCTGAAATAAGCCCTATGCAAGCTGGGTAAAGCTGGATTACTCTCTTTGCTAATCTCCTCATGTTTATGCAACTGTTTGTCCAGCCATAAAGGAGATTTCCCTGTTGGGTGACCTGTAGTCAGTAGTAGGAGCTGTGAAGCGAGGGGAACATGAGAATAGCTTGGTTTAACACCAACAGGATGCGGCCACTTAGGCGCACCAGAGGGTGACAAACATGACAGCCAAGGCAGTTATCTAACTTGAAAGCCACTGTAGATGTAAACCCACTGTTTTACTAACTGTACTGGGTAATTTTGGCATCAAACATTGACAGCTTCAATTGTGAGAGAAGTTAATTTGTTAGAAGAATTCACAATAATGCCATGGAGAAAATAAAGATCGCTTACACATATTTGGATTTTACAGAATGTCCTTTAACACTGGCGGCACAGCTGGATGGATGTGCAGAGCTCATCAAGGTGCTCAAGAGTGGAGGGGCACATGTGGACTTCAGAACAAAAGATGGCATTACTGCTTTACACAAGGCTGTGCGCAGCAAAAACCATACAGCGCTTATAGTGAGTATAACACACACACACACACAATCACAGCAGAAAGCTGAATCATCTCTTTGATTTCTTTTGCAAACCCAATTGCCTCCTTGCAAACTTCCCCTATGGAAAATGAGAGTTTGCAGGCAGTCAATCTGTAGCAGAGGGTGCTTGACCAATTACTAAATATGTGAGGCTTAATACTTCATCTGTGAAAGAGCTGGCATATTCACTGAATGGCCCTGAATGTGTCTGGTCTGAGGAGGCTTGTATCCCAAATGAAATGCTTTTACGTGAGTCATATTAATTGATTTCATTATGAGCAGGAACTGTTGAAATTCTCTAGTTCCGCACAGTCATAGTACTTCGCTAAATATTCAGTCCCGCTGGGCCATGTAACACACTTGAGCTGTTGCTGTTGATATGCTACATTGGCAGATGTGTGAGTGAATTGATCAGTACCACTGATTAAATATGTTTACTGGCTTTTCTGGGGTTTTTCTTGACACACCATTACCTAATGATAAGAACAGCTACTGTATATAATTCATCCACATGTACCTGTGTCTTTGACCTTCACATTGCGTGGTGGTGATAGATGTAACATGATAGAACATGATGATCAATGGGACTGTGTGAAGACCTTCAAGCATCATTCCCCTCTAACCAACTTCTTTTCCCACCAGACGCTGTTGGACTTGGGCGCATCACCTGACTATAAAGACAGCAGGGGGTTGACTCCTCTCTACCACAGCTCGATGGTTGGAGGAGACCCCTACTGCTGTGAGCTGCTGCTGCACGATCACGCCCAGGTCGGCTGTGTGGATGAGAATGGCTGGCAGGAGATACACCAGGTAATACACACTGGCACACACAGATAAAACGGTGATGGGTTGTGTGTAGAATAAAATAGCAGGTGCAGTGTAAGTGGTCTTGTCTGGTTTTTTATTTTTGTGTTTTCCACAGTTTGAGATTTTCTTTTTTGGTTGTCAAGCCCTTAGGGTTGGAAGGAGGTGTGGGAGGATTGTCAGACTTCTCTGTAGATCTCCTCTTTTAAGTCAAAGACTTTTTAAAGGATAAATAAATGCATGTATTTGAAAAAACATTTGTTAATTATTGTAGTAATTGAATAAGTGTATTACATGGCAATTTGCTTTGACCACCCACCCCTATATATACAGTACACATTTGTTCATTTTGAATACTCACTCAAAGATATGCATTACACTAGCACAAACACTGATGGCTACTGAATTTTTATTTGCAATGCATGTCGAGATCTATTTATTTTGACACAACAAAGAGTGAAGAGGCCCACAGAAATTTCTAGGGGATCAGAATTCACTGATACAAAGTTTTTTCATTGTGCTGTAGCTGCAGGTCGTTGCTGACTTCCAGTCTAAGTGGTTGTGTGACAAGTACACTGTAGATGTAGGTTCTTGACTAAAGAAGCACAAACGCATGTTTTGTGTGCATATTGTATACACACAGCCTCAAGACACACCCTGCTCTGCAAACTAATGGAGGTTGGTGCCCACATGCTGTCTTTGTTTGTTTTTTGCTTATATCTCAGTAGTGACAGAAACACGCTCAAAATGCGAATGTTCTTGACAGAACAATGGAACCGCACATACAACATTTCAACTATTTTGTTGCTGACACAGAAGATGAATGAGAACAGAGAAAACATTGGGTTTTAGAGCAACATTTCACTAGTGAGTGTAAAATATCTTGAATGTATATTTCAATGCAAACAGTCTGTGGAAGAAAATGTACTATTTTTATTCAATTTATTTTACTGCTATATCTTTTGCCAAAACATTTCCTGCATTTCATTACTCACATGTACTTCATCTGTTTGCTTTTATTCTCTCACAGTTACTAATACATACTATCGGTCCTGCAAAGCTTTTCTCAAGGTCTGGCTTTATTACTGTGAGGTAATTAATTAAGAGCGAGAAGACAAACAAGCAGATTTGTTCTTATGTGACAGATATGAGTAGTTTAAGACAGTTCCTCTGTAAATGAAGCCTCTCACTGTCTCTTCATGTTATACCAGACTGACATGATGATGACATCAGGGCTCAGCGGGCACCATACCATCTGCTATGGGACTTCTTGTTTTCCTTGTTGCTTGCTCTTTATGACTCTGACTGTGTTTGGGGATGCTGTCATGCTGCTCACTTAAAGTGCCCAAAGCTTTTTGCCGTATTTTGTCACAGCAGCTTTTACATTTCAGTTCTTGTGAGGACAATTCTCTGACTCTCTGATTCTCAGACTGCTGCATCAGCATCTATATGCAGGTCACTGTCTACTACCATCCTCTGCTGCACTCGAACACTGTGCTGAACTAAAATATTTAGTCTAATATCTCAGGGACTGTCGTCCCTACGACAGTTTCTCATATCAAATCGAAAACATTTTCCAGCATCTAACCTAACCGAAAAGTGATCTTCTAATGTGACAGGTGACACTAAATCCTTTTGTTTGCTGGTTTGTGACAACAGGACTTTGAATGCATCATGGTATTTTTGAGCTTGTGTGAAAAGTGTCACTCACCTACAAGATAGTAGCCTTATATGGCAATTTTAGTGGAATAGATTATGGGAATGAGGAAATCTAACAATTGTGCACCTTCTAAAGCACAAGTGGCATTCACTAGTGGTCATAAAGGCAGGTTAATCTGAACAAAAACCTCACATCTTAGTGTAACATCGAAATCCTTAGCAGTGCAACAGAAGACTATGAGGGATAGCTTTTATTCATGTCCTTTTTCAATGTGTGGATAGAGCAAGAGGTTTGAATAGAAGGATTGATAGTTAAATGCTGAATCAGATCATGCTTGTTTAGAAATTCAACTGTTCAGTACATGAAATCGTCCTTCAGTCCGATTTCTCACAATTTCATTTCTTTTATCTCCTTCTCCTTATCTCCTGTTTTTTTCTGTCTTTTCCAGCATTAGTATTCAAGCGGTTTACTTTATATTTTGTACAATGGGTTACACTGTGTGGAAGGTCTGATAACCAGCAACAATCCCAACATTATTTGTGCACTGTCTCACACACTCTCAGCGAGACAGAATTCAGGAGCTAGGGAACAATTGTTGGGGAGAGTTAGTTCATGTCTTTGTCAGTGACACAGACCAAAACCAGGGAGTAGGAGGGAGAACACAGAGAGAGGAGATAAAGATTAGATGAAAAGTTTATTGCTCCCAGTTATGTGAAGCAAAGCCGGAAAATGGCATCAATCTTGAACTCACGGATTTGCATTTTGCCTCAGGTACTTTTAGGGATGCAAACAAGGTATTCCATTGCGTTTAGAGAGCATGAGTGAGAAGAACGTAGCCCAAGGAGAAACACAAGAAAAAGGTTGGATTTTGTCTTTGTAACATTCAGGTGGTGTAAGTGTCACAAAAACATTTTTTTGGCTGCTTATGAGCATATTCAAGGTTTTCCACTGTTCCAACCACATTTTGAGAAAGAGTTGGGTTAGGTGGTATCTTGTTTTCCTATAGCCAAAAGATTACGAGTCATCAAATACAACTCTTAAATAATCAATCCAACTCATGTTTATTCTTTTATCCTTTGAGGTTGCTCCCTCTTGAGTTAAAAAGTAGACAAGGATTAAAAGGTTAACTATTTGTGTTTGTGTCCTTTTAGGCATGCCGCTATGGCCATGTACAACACCTGGAACATCTGCTGTTCTACGGAGCTGACATGAGTGCTCAGAATGCATCTGGAAACACTGCGCTGCACGTGTGTGCTCTCTACAACCAGGTAACATAAAAAATGTATCACAGCATGTGGGATTGGGGAGTTGAGCGGGTCAGTTATCTGTGGTCGTTGTGCATTAAATCTAATACCAGTATTCTGTGCCAACAGTTAGTAGGAGTCATATATAAATTGCAGGGTAACAGGAGGTCAAGAGGATAAATGTGATGCATTAACATTCTCAAACATTGTCTTTACAGTTGTTCTCGTGTGTGCGTGCATGTGTGTGCCAAATATTGAGGCAGAGGTTTTATTCACCTGGTCATTTTTTCCCCCTGTTTTTGCTGCCAGTTTTGATAATGGACTGAGAGGGGAGATTATTGAGAAGTGGTCCAAGTGGGAGTGTGACACTAAAATGGCCACATTAATGCACTTTTTGTGCTGGATGAAAGCAGCAAACCATTTGTTTGGTCATTTTTATGATTTGTATTTAGAATGTGGTTGGTCACTGCCAGACTGGGTCTGTAAACCATATATTATAGGATGATCGTTGACTTGTCCTCATAAAAATCAATTATCTTCAAATGAAAATATCTAGTAAAAAACGAAGTAAATTCAATGTTACTGTAACAGAATCAAGCTATGCATTTGTTGTTGATTATTCACACACGTATGGTGCACTCGAGGATCTATGGCAGCAGAAGGGTTATACGTAGCAAAATAGACTCCAGCTCTTGTGAACATGGTGAAGACTGTTGCGATGAAGTGTAGGTCATTGATGTGTTTTTAATAATATTTTAAAAGCAATGAATACTTATGTCACAGAGGTTTAATCAATAGCAAGCATATACAATATATATCAGATAAGTTCACGTTAAATTTCATCTTGTTTTGAGATTTGTTGTATATTTTCAAAATTTTCCATTAAATCATCATCACATAAAGTCCTCCTTGAGAAATCTTAAGTGACCTGCCAATATTTGATGTCCCCGTTTTTACTGCTTATTGCTGTTTGGGCTGGTGGTGTTTGTATTGGACTCAATACAATATACCAGAAAAGTGGTAATAGCAGTTTATAATGAGATGACTTGACTGTGGGGTCCTATGAGGCAAGAAATGCATATAGGGTTCCTTTAAAATCCGAATGAATGTGTTCTATACCACAAGGGCACTGGCACATGAGGGCAGTGAAAGCCGCCTTACTCATTACGTAATGTTTGGTATGATATGCAGAATAGTCCTGTTTGGTTAGAGGCTCTTATCAGAGCAACTTGTAATAAGGAGCTATGGGAGAGGCTTTTTGCTGATACTTTGAGAAATGATCAGTTCATCAACATTAAACTCTTTCCCCCTCTCTAATACATATGAAGCGAAAAACATTTACATGCTTGGTGTGTGTGAGTCAATTTTATCTGCTTACTTTGGCCAATTCCATTCATGAGGAATGACCTGCTTCAACTGGACTGGAACGCCAAAGTCTCAGGGGAGGGAGGCAGGAAGTTTGTGTGGTTGGGAAGCACAACATCAATACTTAATACAAGCCATTTGTAACACATCCACGTGACCAAAGTCATTACACGATACAATCAAAGAGGGAATGGATGAATTGTTTAATTTACAGTTTGAGCTTCTTGTAAGTCACACTCCGGTAATGGTCCATGCCCCAGCTTTTGGGTGCTAAAGACCGTTATTCTGCCAGTGGAAGCCAAACACCACGTTGAGTGGATTGATCGCAGAAACAGTTTGTCTTAGCAGGGCTCCTGCGGGCTCTAAACAGGCCTGGCTCCGCTGATTATGTACAATCACAGAAAGACAGGGACTGGTAGAATTGACCAGGAAAGTGGTACTGATCAATAGATCCACACAGAAAGAAAAAAGAGTGTCACAAAGACGGACACATGGATGAATTATGGTATGAGAGGATGGATGACAAGATTACATAATCAGCAAAATAATAAGCCTGATCAATGGCCTGAAAGTCCCATTTCTGAGATCTAGCTGGCCATTTACATAGTGGTCCTTTAGCTTGCCAGATGTGTCCAGCAGCAGTGAATGTCAGGGGCCTTTAACTGGCAGATGGATCCATGGGAAATGATGGGATGAATGGTTGAGAAAGGACACATTAATGAGTGGAATTAAAGAGAGGTGACACTCAAACGAAATCAATAAGACCATTTCAACTCTATTGTAAGCTGATGAGATGTGTCACTGCTTTTCATGCATTTTAAAACACATGATGTGCTTTAGATGTTAGACAGAGTCCAAAGAAGGGTTGTTGGAACAGGGTAGCCACAGCAGGCAACTGCCTGGGGCCCCGGAGCTAAGAGAGGGCCCTTGAGAGATGCTGATTATGTTTTTACACAACCATGACAATTTTCTGAGAACCTCCTTAAATTCTATGATTGGTACTGTTCAGTAAACTGCAACACCATGGCCAATAGAATCCCTAACAAGAACCCATGCCACTAGCTTTCTACCAAAGGCTTAATACGTTTAGAGGATTGGTTGAACACTGATTGTCTGTATGTCTGTGGGATGTGTCTGTGTTGGTGATGGAGGTATGCACTTAAACTTTACTACTTAACTGTAATTTATGTGCGTATACAGTCTGTGCTTTTTCTATAATTTTGACATGAAAATAAGTGTTTGAAAAGTGGAATGATGTGGGTTGATATCCTAAACTTCTATTTGGGGCAGGTCCCACCAATGTCCCTTGAGTGATTAAATGTACAAACAAGCTCTTCATCTACATCCAGTTTAATCTGCTTCGTCAATTCTGATGAGGAAAGGAATCATCAAACATAAAACAACACTGAAAGAAACATCTTTTCACATGACTGACACACATCATTAGTGTAAAATACTTGACTTGTATTTACTATATATTCTTATTTAGCCAAAGTAATCAAATCAAGCAAGCAATGGAGGGAATCCTGTAATGGTTTTCCAAATGGACTCCCATAGGAGGCCTTGGAGAGAAGAGTAAGCCTAGTTTATGCTTCTGCGTCGCGTCGACGCCGTACCTACGCCGTCGACGCGGACCCCTACGCCATAGCCTGACGCGCGCCTCCAAAAAATCCTAACTACGCGTCGCGTCGACGCGGACCGCAAGCGCTGTGATTGGTCCGCTCAGAACGTAAGTTCTGGCAGTTGCTTTTCCGGTCTTTCTTCCTCGTCGTAAAAAACACCTCCGCAAACGTCTTCTCTGTCGCCTGCGCTTCAACATTTGCAATATAAGCATTTGTTCTTCAATATTGATGAGCTCCAACTCCAAATACRGCTGCTCCACCTCGGTCGCCATTGTTTACTGTTGTTTACTTTACGGAAGAAAAAGCGAGGATTCGGCTTTACATCACTGTAAATATTCTCACACTGTATGTATACTGTTGTGTACTTTTTATTCCATATATATTCTGTACATGTTTTACTTTTCCATAAAATTACATTTATAAGTGTGGCATGCTTAAATTACTGTTACTTACTGATGTCTATTTTTGACTGCCCTCTTGCTGCTGTAACATTGCAAATGTCCCCGTTGTGGGACAAATAAATGATTATCTTATATACGATAAGGTTACCATTTTGCAACACTGATGTAAAGTTAGAGATTCAAGTGTGCCACCTGCTACCTGCTGGTATTTAAAACCTTTTTCTTTTATATCTCCATGGTTTAAGAAGTGTGTAACAGCGAGCATATTATTGCTTTTATTTTATTTTCTCTTTTATTTTCTCAAGTTAATAAGATCCATGTGTTATGAAACATAAGGCATCTTGCTAAACTTGCTTTTCGTGTGCTGAATTAGCAGGAGAGACTGAGATGCATGCCATTCTTTACTAACAGCCCCACAATGGACAAGGCTAAGGGGATATTATTTTATAGCTATTGAGCTTAACATGAACAAAAAAGAATAGAGAACAGTACAAAGGTGTGCACCTTCTCTATTATTTCCTTGTAAAATTTCTCCTTTGATTTAATTTGTGCTCTCA